AATACTGTCAGCATCAGATTATTGAATACTGAAACATGGTTAACCAGAATATTGTCATATAGTGTAAGAATATGAGCCTCTCAGGTTGGAAGAAACTAAAAATGCGGCTGGGGAAGAGTTGCCTATTCAAAGTAGAGTTGACCATGATGTTGTGAATGTAGTAAAGCCCTCGGGACCTTCATTTGCTGATGGAGCACAACTCAAAATGAAGAGAAACATTTACAGAAATCCATTAGTAATTGGAACATGAATTGTACGAAGTATGAATCTAGGAAAAACTGGTAATTAATATCCTAGGCATTAGTGAGCTGAAATGAACTGGTATTGGCCATTTTGGCTCTGACAATCACATGGTTTACTATGCTGGAAATGACAAATTGAAGAGGAATGGCGTTGCATTCAGTATCAAAAAGAACATATCAACAGCAATAATGAGGTACAATGCTGTCTGTGATAGGATATTATCCATACAAATGCCTACAAGGAAGACCAGTTAATACCACTATTATTCAAATTTATGCACCAACCACTAAAGCCAGTGATGATGAAGAGGAAGGATTCTACCAACTTCTTCAGCCTGAAGTTGATCAAACATGCAATCAAGATGTATTGGTAATAGCTGGTGAGTGGAATGCAAAGGTTGTAAACAAAGAGGAAGGATCAGTAGATAGAAAATATGGCCTTGGTGATAGAAAGGCTGCTGGAGATCAATTTTGTAAAACCAATGAATTCTTCACTGCAAATACCTTCTTTAAACAGCATAAAAGATGGCTATACACATGGGACCTCACCAGATGGAATAGACAGAAATCAAAGTGACTACATCTGTGGAAAGAGATGGAAAAGCTCATATCATCAGCCAAAACAAGGCCAGGGGCAGACTGAAACAGACTATTATTTGCTCATATGCAAATTCAAACTGAAGCTGAAGAAAATGGAAACAAGTCTATGAGAGCCAAAATATGACTTTGAATATATCCCACCTGAATTTAGAGATCATCTGAAGAACATATTTGATACGTTAAACCCTAAAGACCAGAAGAGTTGTAGGAGGACATCATGAATATCATACAGGAAGAAAGCAAAAAGGTCATTGAGAAGACAAGAAAGAAGGAAAAGACCAAAATAGATATAAGAGACTCTGAAACTTGCTCTCCAGCATAGAGATGCTAAAGCAAGTGGAAGAAATGAGGAGGTACAAGAGCTGAACAGAAAATTTCAAAGAACATCTTGAAAGACAAAATCAAATATTATAACAAAATGTGCAAAGACCTGGAGTTAGAAAACCAACAGGAAGAACAAGCTCAGCATTTCTCAAGCTGAGGGAACTGAAGAAAAAAATTCAAAGCTCGACTTGAAGTATTGAAGGATTCTATGGGCAAAATACTGAAACATCAAAAGAATATGGAAGGAATACACAGAGTCACTGTACCAAAAAGAAATGGTCGATGTTCACCCGTTTTAAGAGGTAGCACATTATCAACAGTAAATTATACTGAAGGAAGAAGTCCAAGGTACGTTAAAGGCATTGGCAAGAACAAATCACCAGGAATTGATGGACTACAAATTGAAATTTTTTAAGAAAGTAAGGTGGCACTTAAGGCATTCACTCATCTATGCCAAGAAATTTGGAAGGCAACTACTTAGCCAACTGACTAGAAGATACATATATTTGTGCCCATTCCAAAGAGAGGTGACCCAAAGGAATGCTGAAATCATCGGACAATATCGTTGATATCCCATTCGAGTAATGTTTTACTAAAGGTAATACAGAAATGATTGTAATCATACATTGACAGAGAACTTCCAAAGGCTCAAGCCAGTTTCAGAAGAGGATGTGGAATGAGGGATATCATTGCTGATGTTCAATGGATCTTGGCTGAAAGCAAAGAATACCAGAAAGATGTTTACTTGTGCTTTACTAACTACACAAAGGCTTTCAGTTGTGTGTCATGACAAGCTATGGACAACATTGTGAAATATGAGTATTCCAGAACACTTTATTGTGCTCATGAGGATCCTAGACATGGACTAAGAGGCAGTGGTTTGAACAGAACATGGGAACACTGAATGGTTTAAAATTTCAAAAGGTGTGTGACAAGGTTGTATTCTTTCACCATACTTATTCACCCTGTATGCTGAGCAGATAATCTGAGAAGCTGGGTTATATAAAGAAAAATGTGGCATCAGGATTTGAAGAAGACTCATTAACAACCTGTAATATGCAGATTATACAAGCTTGCTTGCTGAAAGTGAAGAGGACTTAAAATACTTACTGATGAAGATAAATACCACAGCCTTCAGTATGGGTTGCACCTCAATGTAAAGAAAACAAAATTCTCACAACTTGACCAATAAATGACATTCATATAAATGGAGAATAGATTGAAGTTGTTAAGGACTTCATTTTGCTTCGATCAACCGTCAATACTCATGGAAGCAGCAGTCAAGAAATCAAAGGATGTATTGCATTAGGCAAGTCTGCCGCACAAGACCTCTTTAACGTGTTGAAGAGCAAAGATGTCAGTTTGAGGACTGAGGTTCACATAACACAAGCCATGGTTATTTTAAATAACCTCCTATGCATGTGAAAGCTGGACATTGAATAAGGAAGACCATAGAAAAATTAATGCATTTGAGTTATGATGTTGGAGGAGAATATTGAAGGTACCATGGACTGCCAAGAGAACAAATAGATCTGTGTTTTATGAAGTGCAGCCAGAGTGCTCCTTGAAAACCAGGATGGTCAGACTTCATCTTTTATACTTCAGACATTGTCAGGAGGGACCAGTCACTAGAGAAGGATATCATGTTTGGCAAAGTGGGGGGTCAGAGAAAAAGAGGAAGACCCCCAGCAAGATGGATTGGCACAGTGACATCATTAATGGGCTCATACATAGCAACCTTTGTGAGGTTGGCTCAGGATCAGGCAGTGTTTTGTTCTGTTGTATATAGGGACGCTATGAGTCAGTACCGACTCAATGGCACCTAACAACAATAACATGCTGTTTTATTATATCAACATAAGAAATTGACATTGTCACTAGTTCTATATGAATGACTTAAAAAAATGAAACTCCTTGCTTTCTTTTCTTAGCACCTCTCAGAATACAGGTAGTGGGGCATACATGTTCTAGGTAAGAAATCAGAAGAGTCTCCTCCGGAGAATCGAACCAGCTAGAGATTATAGATTTAGAGATACCGATATTAGGGTTTCTTAGGAAACTTACTGGTCATATTACCTGAGAGTATAAGGTCATCTTCTACAAGCACCATCTGCAGGGTTTCTATTTGGCTTTTTAAATAAGAACAGATAGCCAAGAGTCCTCAGACATTTAAGAAAACAACTCCTGAGAGCCCCAAAGCAATAATGGAGGTGGATGGGTAGAATAAAAGCCAATTTAGAAGAAAAAAATGACTATACAAGGAAATGGCAATTAAAACACAAAAGCAAGCCAAAACCTGCAAACCAGTATTAATAAAAAGAAAACTGAGAAGATATATCTGTGAAACAAGAAGAGGATACTATTTAAAATAAATGCAAACAGCAAAATATTTTTCATGTTAGCAGAAAAGAAAAGAAAAAAAACCCTAAACCATAGAAAGATGAAAGATAAAGTTGAAAAAATGACAAGTTAAAAGTAGAGAAAATAAAATAGGGGACTCATTCAGTAGGTTGATTTTCAACAAAATAAGCATTCTAAAAAAAAAAGAGAAAACAAAAATGAACAAGATAATTTCCCAAGAACTGAGAGATGTGAGTTTTTAGAGAGAAAGAATTTTATATGTGCCCAGCACAGTAGATCCACAACAAGGAATAATATGTTTATGAATTTCCAGAACACTTAGGAAAAAGAGAAGATTCTACCAGCTTTCAGAAAGGATCAGGAATCAGATTAGGATTGAGCAATACTCATGTAACAAGTTAGAAGACATTGGAAAGGGGTATCTTTAAATTTCGGAAATAATTTTCAATTTACAGTTCTGTACTCAGCCAATTAAAAGTGCCTTAAAAGCATTTTTCTAGATGGTGCTTTAGGATGAGAACTGCACTGGTAACCAAAAGATCGGAAGTTCAAACCCTATACAGTATCCCTATGAGTCGGAACCAACTTGAAGGCACACAACAACAATAATAAGGCATGTTCAACCATAAAAAATTGAGTTATCTCCCCTAAACTTCCTTTTGGGTAACTGATACTGAATGAGTTCCAGAAAAATGAGGAAGTAAACCAAAAAAAGTAAGTCATGGATGGACCTAGGAAATAGGAGATCAAAATCAAGAGATAGATGAAAGGAATCTCCCTGATGGTGATGAAGTGTATCCCAGGACTATAGCTGTGCAGATGTTGAGTGGTAACCAGTCCAAATTTCAGCAGATCAGAAGTCTTTGACAGAGATTTAATCAAGAAAATGGTAGAATTTCTAATGTGTTAGATGTGAATGAGAAGATATTTAAGGAACTAGAAGAGATTGGAATTGAGTTAGAGATATGTGTAATGAAACTGAACCCTTTCTTCTCCAAAAGATAAAACCTGGTTTTAGTCTATGCTGAGTCATTTCTGAGATACCTTGCAAAACCAATGCAGAACTACTTTGGGAGGGGTGTCCCAAGCTATGCTACTATCTCACTGAAAAAGATTTTAAAAACTAATACCAAAACCGACTAACCAAACAAATAAAACTTTTGCAGAAGATACTCTTACAGTATAAGTTTTTAAAAATACACATGGTTTTGTTTTGTTTTGCTTTTTTAATTGGGAGGAGTTGAGATATGTAATAAACATTAATAAAACATACCTTTTTTTTACATTCTAGAATTAATGTTTGTATTAAAGGCCATGAGTAGATTTTAATTGTAAGATTTATTTTCTAATTTAGAAAGACAGATTTTATTTTTACTTGATAGTATAGATTATGTGACACCATTTTTAAGTTAAGTTTTAAATGAGATAAATCTAATTTTATTCCTAAGTGTGGTATTTGAATTCTTTTGACAGAGTAAAAAGAAATTTGAAAGAGAATGTAGAGAGGCAGAAAAAGCACAACAGAGTTATGAACGATTGGATAATGACACCAATGCAACCAAGGCAGATGTTGAAAAGGTAAGAAATGTTCTAACCTGACTTTAGTATTAAAATATTAGTTGCACATGGAAAATAATAACAATATTTATTTCAGTATTAGAGTTCCCCAGTAGACACATTGTATTTGAATATAAGATATAAAAAATATTGCCTACTTTAACTTACAGGTATTAGTCTGAGAAGGTAACTAAGGTGGGCTAATTGGATTGACTCACGTTGAGTTATGGTTAACTAAAATTCCCATGTCTTTTCATATATGCTGTGGTGTTTGTATATATGTTTCTCATATAGAACATGACTGTTGTTATTTTAAATTTATATGTATACCTATATCAATTATAGGTTTCAATTCTATTGCTAAGATTTTTATATCTGATTTTGATCATCCATCTCCTTTCTAGTATCATAATTGATCACTGTGGTATCAGTGCTTGATTAAAAACAAGTTGGAGACAGCACTGTTCTATACATGGGAGACTTCATTGCAGGCAGACATTGACTCCTTAAAAATCTTACTATCATTCGTTGAGTGCATACTTTATGGTTTTAGTCAAGTTAATGTTACCTTTTCATTGGACTCTTTATTTAACTTACTTCTATTTTGGCTATGAAGATATCATTAGAGACTAGTCATACATCTTGAACTCCTTTGATTGGGGTAAGAAGTTATATGATTAAAACACTTATATATGTGATTAAAACAGTTATGTGATTAAACCACTTATTTATGATTCCAAATGAGCACATCTTACTTGTTTTGTTGCATACTGCTTTCCCCATCACCCAGGTTAACATGGGTCTACCATTTTACTAGTGAATTATTCTCCATTTCCTACCACCACTGATAACCAGTGATGCAGAAAACATCAAGAGAAGATGGAAGGAATACACAGAGTCACTGAAATGGTTAATGTTCAACCGTTTCAAGAGGTAGCATATGATCAAGAGCCAGTGATACTCAGGGAGGAAGTCCAAGGTGCATTGAAGGAATTGGCAAAGAACAAGGCACCAGGAATTGATAGAATAAAAATTGAAATCTTTCAAGAAAGTGAGGCAGCACAAGAGGCATTCACTCATCTCTGCCAAGAAATTTAGAAGACAACTATCTGGCTGACTGATTGGAAGAGATCCGTATTTGTGCCCATTCCAAAGATAGGTGACCCAATGGAATGTGCAAATCATCAGACAATCTCTTTGATATCTCAAGCGAGTAAAGTTTTGCTAAAGGTAATACAGAAATGGCTACAATCATACATTGACAGAGAACTTACACAGGTTCAAGCCGGATTCAGAAGAGGCCATGGAATGAGAGATATCATTGCTGATGTCCGATGGATCTTGGCTGAAAGCAGAGAATATCAGAAAGATGTTTACCTGTGCTTTATTGACTATGCAAAGGCTTTCGATTGTGTGGATCATGACAAGCTATGGACAACATTGAGAAGTATGAGTATTCCAGAACACTTAATTGTGCTCATGAGGAATCTGTACCTGGACCAATAAGCAGTTGTTTGTACAGAACATGGGAACACTTGAGTGGTTTAAAATTAAGAAAGGTGTGCGACAAGGTTGTGTTCTTTCACCATACTTATTCAACCTGTATGCTGAACAAATAATCTGAGAAGCTGGGTTCTATGAAGAAAAATGTGACATCAGGATTGGAGGAAGACTCATTAACAACCTGCGATATGTAGAACCTTGCTTGCTGAAAGTGAAGAGGACTTAAAACATTTACTGTTGAAGATCAAAGAACACCACCTTCAGTATGGATTGCATGTCAATGTCAAAAAAAAACCCAAAATCCTCACCACTGGACCAATAAACAACATTCTTCTCCATGGAGAAAAGCTTGAAATTGTCAAGGACTTCATTCTTGGATCAACTGTCAACACTCATGGAAGCAGTAGTCAAGAGATCAGATGACGTATTGCACTGGGCAAATCTGCTGCGCGGAACTTTTTAAAGTGTTGAAGAGCAAAGATGTCAGCTTGAGGACTAAGGTGCGCCTGACCCAAGCCAGGGTATTTTTAGTAACCTCATATGGATGCAAAAGCTGGACAGTTAATAAGGAGGACTATAAAAGAATCGATGCCTTTGAATTGTCGTGTTGGAGGAGAATACTAAAAGTGCCATGAGCTGTCAAAAGAACCAATAGATATGTTTTGGAAGAAGTGCAAATAGAGTGTTCCTTAGAGGCCAAGATGGCCAAACTTCGTCTCACATACTTTGGACATATTGTCAGGAGAGACATCATGTTTGGTAAGATGGAGGGTCAGAGAAAAAGAAGAAGACCCCCAATGAGATGGATTGGCCAGATGGCAGCATCAATGGACTCAAGTGTGGCAGCAGTAGTGAGGTTGGCCCAGGATTGGACATTGTTTCATTCTGCTATGCATAAGGTGGCTATGAGTTGGTGCCGACTCAATGGCACCTAACAGCAACAACAGATAACCAAAAAAGAATGTTTCTTTAAGTGTGAAAACCTTTTGATTTTTTGCAACAATGGTCTCCTACAATAGTGGTGTAGTGAGTTAGAGTAGACCTATAAGGTTATTCTAACCTGAAATTTATATGATTTTAAGAGTTTTTGTGGTTTGTTTTGTGATTAATTTTATTCAGCATAATGTCCTCCAGGTTCCTCCATGTTTTGAGGTATTTCACAGACTCATGGTTACTCTTCAGTGTTACGTAGATAAACTTTGGTACATACTCATATGTGCCAAAGTTTTATCTATTTTTCCATTGATAGGCTGTCTCCATCTTTTTGTTACTGTGAGGAGTGTTGTGATGAACATGGGTGTGCATATGTCTATTGTGTCACAGTTCTTAGTTTTTGAAGATTTGTACTAAGTAGAAGGATTACTATCTCTGTTTCCCATTCTTTGAAGAAGTACCATATCTTTTCCCAGAGTGTTTGCACCAGCAGTAGAAGTGTCCCAGTCTCTACACCTTTGTGAGCGTTTGTTATTTTCTGTTTTGTTTTTTAATTATTTTTTTAAATTTTGCTATTAATGCTGGAGTAAGATGATATCTCATTGTTTTGATTTGGACCTCTCTAATGGAGTACTGATGTAGCCCTTGTTAGATAAGCACTGGACTGCAAGAGCAGCTTGAACCTTAATGTCGGAAGTTCAGACCCATCAGCTGCTCCTCAGAAACCCTTGAGTCAGAACTGACTCCATAGCACTTAACAACAACATCAAAATAGCTAACAAGGGCATGTGGTGGCTGTGTAGGATAAACACTGGACTACATTCCACAGGGTTAAATGTTCTAGCCCATCAGCTTCTGTGAGAGAGAAAGATGAGGCTTTCTGCTTCCACAAAGATTTATTTACAGCCTTAGAAACCCTGTGTTCTTGTTGTCACTATGAGTTGGAACCAACTTAATAGCACTTACCAGCAATGGCTAATGATTACAAGCATGTGTGTTGGCTGCCTCAATGTTTTGTATGGGTAAGTGTCTGTTCATGTGCTCTGTCCATTTTTTAATTGGATTACTTGTCTGTCTTGCTGAGGTGTGGAAATTTTCTGTAAACTTTACAGATTTGTTCCTTATCTGATAATGTCATTGGCAAAATTTTTCCAATCTGTGGGTTCTCCTTTTACTCTTTTGATGAAATGTTTTGATGCATATGTTGTTAACTGTTGTCATGTCAGGTTCAGATTCATAGCAACCCTGTATAGGGTTTCTGAGGGGCAGCTAGTGGGTTTGAACTGCCTACCTTGCAGTTAGCAGTCCATTGCTTATCCTACAGTGCCACACTAGGACTTCTTTGATGTGTGTAAATATCTAATTTTTAGGAGGTTCCAGTCATCTACTTCATCTTTTGCTTTTTGTGTGCCTTCAGTTATGTTTAGGTGTTCAACCACAAGGTCAGTTTGAACCACAAGGTTGGCAGTTCAAACTCATCAGCCGCTCCTCGGTGACCCTACATAGGGTCGGTATGGTTGGAACAGACTCAATGGCACTTAATAACAATAACAAATTAGAGTCCATAAGTTTGTCTCTATTTTTTCATTTATGACACTTAAAGTTTTAGGTTTTACATTTACGTCTTTAATCCTTGTTGAGTTTGTTTTTGTATATAGTGTGAGGTATGGGTCTTATTTCATTCTTATTGAATGGATTTGTTATCATTTGTTGTAAAAACCATCTCTTCCCCATTTAATGTATTTTGGCCCTTTGTCAAAAATCAGTTGACTGTATGTGGATGAATTTACTTTTGGTTTCTCAATTCTCTTTCATTGAACTATGTGACTTGTACAAGTACCTGGCAGTTTTGACCCCTGTGACTTTGTATAGGTTTTGAGACCATAAAGCGAGAGACCTCCTATTTTGTTCTTCTTTAGTAATGCTGTGTTTTTCCAGGGCCTCTTTCTTTTCCATATAAACTTAGTGATGAGTTATTTCTGTCTATTTAAAGATTGGTGTTAGTATCTTGATTGGGATTACATTAGTAGATTGCTTTGGGAGTGTTGACATTTTCACAATGTTAAGTCGTCCTATTCATATTATTGTTGTTAAAGTGCCCTAGAATTAGTTCCGACTCATAGCAACCTTGTGTAGGGTTTTTGAAGAACTGGTGGTGGGTTTGAACTATTGACCTTGTTGTGGCAGTGCTGATCCTACAGTGCCATACCAGGAGTCCTATGGGCATGGTATATGCTTCCATTTTTGTAAGTCTTTTTTTGGTTTCTTGTAGTAGTGTTTTGTCGTTTTCTTTTATGGTTCTTTTGTTTTTCTGGTTAGATTTGTTTCTTCTTTTCGTTGGCTACTGTAAATGGTGTTGCTTTCCTAATTACTTTTTAGACTTCTGTTTATTATTGTAAAGGAATCCAACTGATTGGAAAAAAACCAATACACACAAAAACTTTTTATTGTGAATTGAGTGAAGGTTTATAGAGCAGATCATTAGTTTTACATTCAACAAGTGAAATAATTTGCTTCTTTACAATGATTGGAATCCCCTCCATGTATCATCAGTTAATAGCATTTACCTCTAATCACTTTAACTT